GCGGGGCTCCATGTAACATCAGGGAACAAATAGTCTATATAATTCCAAGATAAATAATTGTTACCACAAATAAAGGTATATCACTTTGACCCAAAATAGTTTCCATATAGTTTTTGTTTGTTTGCTTTTACAAAAGAAGTTTTATTGGAAACAAACACGAAGCAGTGGAGAGGATACATTTTATTGGCTTATAATGCTTAATTGACATTTATAAAATAAAGTCCTTAAAATTAGGTGTGTTTCTCTACTGTAATCTTTTTTTTTTTTTTAACTCTTTTTTGGCATGTTATATTTAGGTAACCTAGGGCAGAAATGTTTCCTCTCAGTTCTAGTTTTTTATTTTTGTTTTTTGTCTTTCCTCAACATTGATTGATTTAATACACAGTCATCAGCCTGACAGATAATGTAATATGGAAGAGAAGAAGACTTAAACTTCATTTATGAAGGTTTACAAAAATGGAATCAGTTCAGATACTAGAGCGGATTCTTTTATCCAGAATCTGGCTCAGACTCTAAAATTTACAAAACCCTCAAGTTAATTCTATTCAAGCCATGGCTTTAAATAGGGAATGTCAAAACAGGGTGATTATGATGTGTGTGTGTGTGTGTGTGTGTGTGTGCACATACATGTGCATCCACATGTGTATGGGTGGTGGGGGGCTTTGTAGGAAAAAACTATTTTTTTCCCCTTTGTTTCTATCCTCCAAATTCTAAAAAAATTTTTTTTAAGAGTACAATTAGATTGAAGTACACACTACAAGTAAAATCCCAGGGAAGATGTATGAAGTGAATGGAATTGTTCATTGCTTTACCTGTATCTCTTACTCTTTTATCAATGTTTAAATATTTCGTGCATATGAATATTTATACCAAATATGAAGAAATGATTCCTTCTTCCACTATCAGATCAGTGAACAGCAGCTTAAATTATGAGAAAACGTTCAAATTTGGGAATAAAAGTGTTCCATATCTATAGCAATACAAGTCCCTGCAGGAACAAATTTCCACAACCTGGCCTGACCTTGACTTCCTCTGTGGCAGAACAAACGAGTCACAAGGCACTGAATCCTGACCTGCTGGGTGAAGGTCACTTCAGCATCTTTTGGGAGGTATTTCAGCCACACTGAGGCTGCTAAAGTTAAAATCAAGATGTCTGAGGGGCAGCAGCAATAAGGCAATCATTCCCTTTTCTATCTCTTCATAGTGTCAGTGTGACAGATCTCTTACAGTGAAAATAACTCTGAATTGCCCGTAGGCTGCCAGATGAGAGGACAGACACAGCATAGCTTTACTTTAAGGGCAAATGAACAGGTGAAATCATTTAGAGAGAACTCTAACTGATGTTGAAAATTCCTCACTTTTTTTTTTGGGATCTCAATAACTAGAATCCGGAATGGCATAAATGCACTGGAAACTCTTTTAATGATCCTCTTTTCATGTGAGGGAATCACTTTACAAATGTGGCACTGAAAATTAAGTACACATTTGATTATTTACGACGAACACATAGGCCTAAACCATACATTACAGTTAATGACTTCGAATTCTCAACTTTTGGAGCTAGGAAGGCCAATGAAAGTCATCCAGTCCAAACTCTGTTTATAGATGCAGAAACAGAGCTCTATGAAGGCTAAGATAAAAAGCTATGGACATAGGACAGTTAGTGACGGAGCCAGTTGGAAGTACTCAGATTTCCTGATTCTTCAAATGAACTTACTTCACATACGAATGTATGTTTATATAGTTTATTCAAAACAAAAATCCAGAGTTTTGGTAAATATGTAACTAGTACAAAGAGTCAGGCTTACTAGGCTATTGCCTTAAACTTCTATTCTCTTAAGAAGTCTTGAAAAATGTTGCTGCCTTGCAATAAAAAAACTTATTATTATTGTATTTAATATTTAATAGAACACTATTAATAACATTAATAGTTATTAATTAATAGTTAAACTTGGAGAATAGGAAGAAGTGAAACTGTCCCAGGGTATTGGGACATATAGTTATCCTTAAAATACTGTATTTACTATTATGCAAAAACTATTTCTTATTTTTTTTAAATAATAAATTAACTGACAGTATTTATGCCACTTAAAATAATGATTTGCATCTAAACTGTCACTTATCTGCCTAAAATGAAACTGTGTGTGTTATTCAAACCTTGTGTTTCTCTGGGATTTTGAATAAACCGTACTCTAAACACATAGGTGCGATAGAATTATTTGTGAACTTTTTGCATTTATATTATAAGAGGCTAGTGTGATCTCATGATAAAAGACAGAAAGAGCAACAGAAATGTTCTCCCACTTTTTAATTTTTTTGGGAAAAATTTTATTTTGAATCTGAGTGAAGTTTAACAAAATAAAATTTGAAACAAGATTACCCCAGTAATTACAGAGAAATTGTTTATTTAAAAAAGAAAAAAAAAGATGATGAAATGTTTGAATGGGACACGGAAGAATGTTAAGTAGTGTCAATTTTAATTCTCCATTATCACTCAATTACTACTTACTTGCAATTAACACAGTTTCTATAACTATAATATAATAATTTCAAAGCCTTTGATATCATAGTATTTGATTGACCATTATATATCCTTTTTCAACAATTTACTATGTGGTATTCAATACAGGAAATCATATAAAAATTATAATAAATTGAATAACCCTGATACTACCATCTAGCTTGAGAACTGGAATGTAGTCAATATCATTTCATATGCTCACATGCTCCTTTGGTATCCCATCACCCTACTTTACCTCTAGAAATTAACATTGTCATGAATTTTGTATTTATTGTTTTCCATTTTTCAAAAAGGAATTAATCACATATGCTTATATCCTTTAAAACATTAGCATTGTTTTGTTTATTTTGAACATGATAAAAGTGTGTAGTCTTTTACAAATTTTTGCTCACCCAATATTATATTTCTAAGATTCTTTCATGTTATGTGTACTTATAACTAATTTATTTCACTGTAGAATTATTTTGCATTTTGTGACTATATCACAATTTATTTACAAATTTTGTTTTCCTTAGATATTACATCAATAGCACACTTTTCTTTTGTTTTAATTAACAATGCTTCAGTGAACACTCTTATAATGTCTCCTAGAATACATGTGCAATATTTTCTGTAGGACAATGAAAACTTTAGTGTGCTTGAGAATTACCTGGAAGATTTATTACAACACAGATCATGGGGCTCCAACCCCAGAGTTTTTGATTCAGTAGATTTGGGGAGAAGTTCAAGAATTTGTTTCTAACAAATCCCCAGGTGATGCTGATTCTACTGAAAAATTAAATTGAGAACGCTGCTAGAAGGTACATACTTAACAATGAATTTGTGGCTCTCTGATATGATAATATACAAATTTATAAGATTATTTTCCTGAGTTGCCAAATAAATTCATACTTCTACAAATTGTATCATTGTAAAATTTTACAATGATCCATATCATTATCACTTAGCAGTAACAAATTTATTTTGTCCAATCTAGTGGATATAAAATTATTGCTCAGTTATGAATAATTTTTATATGTTTTATGGACTTTAATGTTTCCTCTTTTATAATTGCTTCTTAATTTTTTTGTCCAGTTCCATTCAACTTTTTGTTGTTAGGTGCCATCGAGTTGATTCCAACTAATAGCGACCCTATGTACAACAGAATAAAACACTGCCCAGTCTTGAGCAATCCTCACAATCGTTGCTATGCTTGAGCCCAATGTTGCAGCTACTGTGTCAATCCATCTCATTGAGGGTTTTCCTCTTCTTTGCTGACACTTTCCTTTACCAAGTATGATGTTCTTTTCCAGGGACTGTTCCCTCCTGATAACATGTCCAAAGTATGTGAGATGAAGTCTCACCATCCTTGCTTCTAAGGAGCATTACGGCTGTACTTCTTCCAAGATAGATTTGTTCATTCTTCTGGCAGTCCATGATATAGTCAATATTCTTCACCAACACCATAATTCAAAGGCATCATTTCTTCTTTGGTTTTCCTTATCAATTTAATTTAGTATGCATTAATTAGTGATGCAATGTTAATGAGGCTAACTTTCTCCCTATCACAGACTACCAAGAATAGTTATGTTGTTATGAAATAATAGACGATTGACATCAAAAGAGATCAGATATAATTGGTTCATAAGCTCTTATCATAATTATTATCCTACTCTTTCTAACCTACAGTAAATAATTCTAATATTAATGGAAATTTAGTGCAGGTTCATGTGTTTAAAACTCTATTTTATATTATTATCAAAAGGAATAGTCTAAATGGTATTTGTGAGTGATAGCTAAAATAGAAAATATTTTTAAATTGATGACAACTAATACTGCTATAGCATATCAAATCACCTAAACAATAAATGAAGTTGCATTGATAAGTATGACACATATAACAAAATTTATTATTAACTTCTAACATCACTATTTTAAACGCATCATTACATACAGTGTTGAAAAAATCAATCTTGGATTCACAATTGATAAGGAAATAAAAATAATGTTAAAATAAACTAAATCATACCTATATTAAACCCTCATTTCCCAATAACTGTGGGCTGTTTTTAGTATACAAAAATCTTTTTTTTTTAAATGGTGGCTTAAATGTGAAATGCTTTCTAGAAAAACCTATGTATAAAATACATTTACATTGCATCAATATAATTAATTAAAATACTTACAAATAATAAATTTGGGGACACTGAGAGAGTCATCACCTGTAGAATATTGTTTTCAAGATACTGTCAATCACAAAAAAAAAAAAATAATTGAATGGTAGTTTTTCCTGTTGGCTATTTTTTTCAGATTTTGTTTTCGATGCTCTTTAAAAAATACCTTTGGCTAATAAATCATGTAATCATTAACACACAATGACATCTTTAAAATTTTTATGTCAAAGAACTAATACAAAATATGATACTCATACAGTCTACACAATTCAGATTCCTCTGAAAAAATCAGAATTTGAAGACAGTATTGGATATCTATTTCTTACCTGCTTGTGAGCATGGTCATAAGAATTAATGTGATTGTCAAACTCCTGATGCTTGTAATACTGCTTGTCACAGAGTTCGCAGTAGAAATTGGCCTTTAGGTCTTCCAGAGCTTTTGCTATGGTATTTTCCTTCTCAGCGTAGTCCTGAAAAATAAAATTCCAAAGAAGGAAGCAATTAGCTCTCCCCTGAGTTTACACTGTTCTGAGAATTGTTAACTTTAGTATGATAATTACAGTTATAAACAGACTATAACAAAAGAAAAAAATAAAACAAATAGCAACAAACTCAGATTAAACTGTGAGTTAATGAAAATAAAAGAGTAATAGAAGAAGCCAAAAGAAAGGAAAGGTAATGGAAAAAAGATGTAAAAAATATAAAGAAAATGAAACCATAGGAAAATAGAGAAGCCCTTGACTGAATAAATTCCTGTCCTGTTAGAACACAGAGCAAATGAGAATAACATAGCTATGTCAGTTCAACTGTGTATTTCTGGCAATGGCTTAGTTAAAACAGAACTTTAATTCTGAACAACATCTAAAATGTATCATGTTTGAAGAGGTCTGTACTGATGCATAAATATTCAATTTTGTATTTGTATTTCCTTGTCTCCTTACATATCTCTAGGGTACCTTATTAATCACCCCAACTAGATTTCATTTGACTAAATGTTTTCATCATGACCCAAATCAATTTAGGCTACTCTTTAAAGTATCATCTGGTCTTTGGAAAATGGGAAATTTTTTGTATGTCATTTGCTAAACTGAAAAGATTATACACTCTATAAGCAGATTGTTTTCATTATGTTCACAGTAAATAAACATGACTAAGTCTTTGTTATACAGTCAAACCCCTGAAAAGATGAAAAATGTAGGCAGTCATCATGAACTTTTGTTTATAAAGCATAAAATAGCATTCTTAAATCTAAATTTATTTTACAATTTCATGCCTTTTGCAATGCACAGCAGAAATAAATACATTTTAAATGCTGAAACATGGTTGGATTCTTTCACTGAGAGCTGATGTGAAGAAAACCTAAACTTCAATCCTGGCCGTAGAATATATTGTATACTTCTAACCAACAGATTCTCTTATGCTCAACTCCTTTAAATTCAAAATAACTATGTTTTCAGGCTTGCTATGTGCTACTGTAAGACACTTTCTTAACCACTGAGATGTAGAGAGGAAATGACATAGTCCTTGTTCTCACAGAATATACAGGAAAGAAAAGACTCATATTTTGAATTTTCGAATTGCTTGTACAAAATTTAAAAGTGGTTGACAGATTGTCATTTAATGAATGGCTCTTTCTTTGATTTATTGTGTTGTTGTTGTTAGGTGCTGTCGAGTTGGTTCTGACTCATAGCGACCCTATGCACCACAGAACGAAACACTGCCTGGTCCTGTGCTATGCTCACAATCGTTGTTATGCTTGAGCCCATTGTTGGAGCTACTATGTCAAACCATCCCATTGAGAGCCTTCCTCTTTTTCACTGACCCTGTACTTTACCAAGCATGATGTCCTTCTCCAGGGACTGATCACTCCTGACAATATGCTCAAAGTATGTAAGACGTAGTCTCGCCATCCTTGCTTCTAGGGAACATTCCAGCTGTACTTCTTCCAAGACAGATTTGTTCGTTCTTTTGGCAGTCCATGGTATATTCAGTACTCTTTGCCAACACCACAATTCAAAGGCGTCGATTCTTCTTCGGTCTTCCTTATTCATTGTCCAGCTTTCCCACGCATATGATGCAACTGAAAATACCATGGCTTGGGTCAAGCGCACCTTAGTCTTCAAGGCAACATCTTTGCTTTTCAACACTTTAAAGAGGTCTTTTGCAGTAGATTTGCCCAATGTAATATGTCTTTTGATTTCTTGACTGTTGCTTCCATGGGTCTTGATTGTGGATCCAAGTAAAATGAAATCCTTGACAATTTCAATCCTTTCTCCATTTATCATGATGTTGCTTATTGTTCCAGTTGTGAGAATTTTTGTTTTCTTTATGTTGAGGTGTAATCCATACTGAAGGCTGTGGTCTTTGATCTTCATCAGTAAATGCTTCAAGTACTTTTCACTTTCAGCAAGCAAGGTTGTATCATCTGCATAATGCAGGTTGTTAATGAGACTTCCTCCTGTCCTGATGCCACATTCTTCTTCATATAGTCCAGCTTCTCAGATTATTTGCTCAGCATATAGATCAAATAGGTATGGTGAAAGGATGCAACCCTGATGCACACCTTTCCTGACTTTGAACCACCCAGTATCCTCTTGTTCTGTGCAAACAACTGTCTCTTGATCTATGTACAGGTTCCTCATGAGCACAATTAAGTGTTCTGGAATTCCTATTTTTTTTCAACATTATCCATAATTTGTTATGATCCACACAGTCGAATGCATTTGCATAGTCAATAAAACACAGGTAAACATCTTTCTGGTATTCTCTGCTTTCAGCCAGGTCCATCTGACATCAGCAATCATATACCTTGTTCCATGAGTCCTCTTCTGAATCCAGCCCGAATTTCTGGCAGTCCACTGTTGACATACTGCTGCAGACATTTTTGAATGATCTTCAGCAAAATTTTACTTGCGTGTGTTATTAGTGATATTTTTCAATAATTTCTGCATTCATTTGGATCACCTTTCTTGGGAATAGGAATAAATATGGATCTCTTCCAGTCAGTTGGCCATGTAGCTGTCTTCTAAATTTCTTGGCATAGACAAGTGAGCACTTCCAGCACTGCATCCATTTGTTGAAACATCTCAATTGATATTCCGTCAATTCCTGGAGCTTTGTGTTTCACCAATGCCTTCAGTGCAGCTTGGACTTCTTCGTTCAGTACCATCGGTTTCTGATCATATGCTGCCTCTTGAAATGGTTGAAAGTCCACCAATTCTTTTTGGTATAATGACACTTTGTATTCCTTCTGTCTTCTTTTGATGCTTTCTGTGTCATTTAATATTTTCCCCATAGAATCCTTCACTATTGCAACTCGAGGCTTGAATTTTTTCTTCAGTTCTTTCAGCTTGAGAAATGCCGACTGTGTTCTTCCCTTTTGGTTTTCTCTATCTCCAGCTCTTTGCGCATGCCATTTTAATACTTTGTGTTCTCCAGCCGCCCTTTGAAATCTTCTGTTCAGTTTTTTACTTCATCATTTCTTCCTTTTGCTTCAACTACTCAATGTTCAAAAGCAAGTTTCAGGGTCTTTTCTGACATCCATTTTGGTCTTTTCTTTCCTGTCTTTTTAATGACCTCTTGCTTTCTTCATGTATGATGTCCTCGATGTGATTCCACCACTCGTCTCGTCTTCAGTCATTAGTGTTCAAAGCATCAAATATATTCTTGAGATGGTCACTAAATTCAGGTGGGATATACTCAAGGTCGTACTTTGGCTCTAGTGGACTTGTTCTAACTTTCTTCAGTTTCTACTTGAACTTGCATATCAGCAATTGATGGTCTGTTCCGCAGTCTTCCCCTGGCCTTGTTCTTACTGCAATATTGAGCTTTTCCATCGTCTCTTTCCACAGATGTAGTCTATTTGATTCCTGTGTATTCTATCTGGCAAGGTCCATGTGTATAGTCACTGTTTATGTTGGGGAAAAAAGGTATTTGCAATGAAGAAGTCATTAGTCTTGCAAAATTCTATCATGCAATCTCCCGCATTGTTTTTATCACCAACGTCATATTTTCCAACTACCGATCCTTCTTCTTTGTTTCCAACTTTCTCATTCCAATCACCAGTAGTTATCAATGCATCTTGATTGCATGTTCGGTCAATTGCATGTTCAGACTGCAGAAGCTGATAAAAATCTTCAGTTTCTTCATCTTTGGCCATAGTGGTTGGTGCGTAAATTTGAATAATAGAAGTATTAATTGTTCTTCCTTGTAGGCAGATGGATATTATCCTATCACTGACAGCGTTGTTGAAATGTTCTTTTTGATGATGAATGCAAGCCATTCCTCTTCAAGTTGTCATTCCCAGCATAGAAAACCCTATCATTGTCCAATTCAAAATGATCAGTATCAGTCCATTTCAGCTCACTAATGCTTAGGATATCAATGTTTATGAGTTCCATTTATTTTTTGATGATTTCCAATTTTCCTAGATTGTTACTTCGTACATTGCATGTTCTGATTATTCATGGATGCTTGCAGCTGTTTCTTCTCATCTTGAGTCCTACCACATCAGCAAATGAAGGTCCCAAAAGCTTGACTCCAACCACAATCATTAAGGTCGACTCTACTTTGAGGAGGCAGCTCTTCCCCCAGTCGTCTTTTGAGTGCCTTCTAACCTGGGGGGCTCATCTTCCGGAGGTATGTTCCACTGCTATTCATAAGATTTTCACTGGCTAATTCTTTTCAAAAGTAGACTGCCGGGTCCTTCTTCCTAGTCTGTCTTAGCCTGGAAGCTCAGCTGAAATCTTTCCAGGGTGACTGCGGGTATCTCAATACCAGTGGCATAGCTTCCAGCATCACAGCAACACGCAAGCCCCCACAGTATGACAAACTGATAGACATGTGGGGGTAAATACATTTCCCATAATCTATATATACATAGCTGGCTTTCTCACTTTAAAGAGAGAAATCCATTATTAGGCTTTATTAGCTTTATGAACTATGTAGATAGCAGGAGATGATAAATTGCAAGCTCATTTAAATTGTTTACTTATGATTCCATAAATTTCAATAATTACCATTTCTCATCAGATTTGTGAGCTATTCTCTATTATTCTTTTTGATTACTTTCCTTATGTTAAAAAAAAGTTAGTTTAAAAAGTTAAAATACGTCATGTATATCTAAACTGCCTACTGAATTATTACTAGAATCTTCAAAATAATACTTTGTGGATTAGCTAATTTACAATGAAACAAAAATCAATTACCATGATTTCATGGCTAAAGTGTGTGAAGCAGAGATAAAATTCCAATCAATATACCAGTTATAATAGTAATACTTTTTGGTTTGGAGGTTGAATTAGCTCTCAGAACAATCTTCTAGAACTAATGACTTTTTTTTTTTTTTTTTTTTTTGCCAACTAGTTGATTCTCCCCAATAATTACATTACACTAAAGCTGGTTCATCTCCCTATACATTTGATTATTTCTTGTTATGTTGTAATTTTTTTATACCTAAGACTGATATTCC